GCTTTCTCAAAAAGTTGCAAATAGAGATACCATTTGACCCAGCAATTCCACTACTGGGAATATATCCCAAAGAGACCATAACTGCCCTAATAATTTTAAAATACTCTTCAGCAAGATTTTGCTTGCATGTGATATTAATGATATTTGAGAATTTTCATATTCTGTAAGTTAACTTTTTGGTATTTGCCTTTTAAATGGCACACAGTTTTCTTGTTTATTGTGAAAGCAAGTATAACTTAGTTTTCCTGATAGTATAAACTGTCTACAAACCTCTCATACTTGTATACCACTCCAATTTTGCTGACAATGAGGAGGACTTGAAGTGTTTGCTGCAAAAGATCAAAAAGACTACAACCTTCAGTGTGGATTATATTTCAACATTGAGAAAACAAAAATCTTCACCACTGTGCCAAAGGCAACATCACAATAGATGAAGAAAAGTCAATGATTTCATCTCATTTAGATCTACAACCAATAACTTTGGTATCAGCAGTGAGGAAATCAAAAGACATGTTGCACTGGTAAAGTGTGAAGTCAGGGACTCCAAAGTATGAAAGAGCAAGGATTTCAGTTCAAAGACTAAGGTGCACCTGAGCCAAGCTAAGGTCTTTTCAATTACTTGCTACGCATCTGGAAGTTGGACAATAAGTAAAGGCAACAGAAGAATTGATGACTTTGAGTTGTGATGCTGACGGGGAAAGCACTAAGTATCCCATGGACTGCCAAGAGACCAAACAAATATGTCTTGGAGAGAGTATAGCCAGGATGGTCTGTAGAGGGAAGGATGATGAAACTTCACCTCACATACTTTAATCATGTTATTAGGAGGGGTTAGTCCTGGGGAGAAGACATCATATCAGAAAAAGTGGAGGGTCAGTGAAGGAGGGGAAGACCCTCAATGTGATGGATTGGCACAGTGACTGTAACAAGGGGCTTAATGTGGCAGCAATGATGAGGATGGCACAGGATAGGGCAGGATTCAGATCTGTTTTTCGTAGGTCACCATGAGTCCTACTCGATTTGATGGCACCTAGTGGACAGTAACAACAAGCACCAGTTTTAACCTTATTATAAATAAGATGTCAACAAGCATCTTTATTCATAAGGTTCATTTCAAAGGTGAGATATTTCCTTGGGAAGACTCAGAAATGGAAGTATGAGAAGAGGGGCAAGGTTAGTGGTGACATTTGTGCATCTGTGTGAGGATAGGTGGACTGTCATTAGCTGTTGCTTGCAGGAAGAGGTTGCTGAGACAGGCCTCCTCCCCGTACACCCTTGGGAGCCGGATGAATCATTTCCTAAATCTACAGATCTCGTTAGTGGAGTGACTCATACGTTGTTAAGTACCATCAAATCGGTTCCAACTCATAAGTACCCTGTGTACAACAGGGCAAAACTCTGCTGGCCCTTGGCCAGCCTCACAATCACTGCAGTATTTAAGCCCATTGCTGCAACGACTGTGTCAATCCATTTCTCTGAAACGCTTCCTATTTTTTGCTGACTTTCTACTTTTACAAGCTTGTCTGGTCCCTCCGGATAGCAGTTGCGAAGTGTATGAGATGACGTCTCGCCATCCTCTATTTTAAGGAGTCTTCTGGATGTCCTTTTCCCAAGATAAATTCGTTCATTCTTCTGGCAGTCCATAGTACATATAATTTTCTATGCCAGCATCATACTTGAACCATATCAATTCTTCTCCAGCTCCCCTCATTCACTGTCAAGCTTTCTTATACCTAGGAGACAAGTGAAAAGACAGTAGCTTGGAGGTGGCATGCCATGGTCCTCAAAATGACATCTTTGTTTTGTAACCTTTCAAAAAGAACTTGTGGAGCACATTTGTCCAACGTTGTTGGATTTCTTAACTACTGCTGAGAGTGTCTCATCCATTGGGCCTGAAATCCCCTTGCACCTCCAGGCTGAGCAGGGCAAAGCCTTTTGGCCTGTCGGGTCTCCCCAGGGCTGGCTCCAGGCTCCCGGCTGAGGTTAATGGAGCCTGATGAGGTGTTTATGTGCTGCCTGCCTCCTCTGCAGCGTGTGCACAGCCCTGTGCTCGGATGTGCTCTCAGACGCAAACTCCTTCCAGCTTGGCCGAGCTCAGTTCCAGAGCAGCTTGGGCTGGTTTTCTCCTCAGAAAGGCCAGTCAGAAGGGGTCAGCCAGCGGAGAAGCTAAAGCTAACCTACTTATTGTTGCCTTTTTGTTAATGAGGGGAGGACCATCTGTACAGATGCCAAATCATTTAAAACATGTTGCACCGTGCTGGGGATTTAATGTCCCGGGACAATTTTGTGTGTGGGCAAAAGAAAGAAATGAATGGTGATTTTTTTTTCAGTCCTGACTGGACTCCCAGGGGCCCCTTCTTGGACTTCGCTGAGCTTCTATTATATTATTTTTTAGAAAATATTTTTCCTGTGAAGTTATGAGGCTTGGAAGTTGTGATTGCCAGCCTCTCCGGCGATCTCCCAGGCTTCATTTG